ATTTGACGGATATATTAAATTAGGAGAGAAATAGCCTTTAATTAAATTTATTAAATTTTTGCCAAAATTCATTTGTATTTAATGTAAAAGGCAGAAATATTTGATTTTCTGTAAAAAATAAATACATGTAATGTATTTTTATGATTATTAATATTGAGAGCTGACAAATTATCGTCAAATCATATAAAAAATTTATTAGATTTTTTATATTTCCAAAATTAAACGTCAAATTTTCCAATTTATTTCAAGTTTTTTCATCTAACAATAAGCTTTAATTGTTTTAATATTTTTCGTAATTTCAAGATAGTATCGGAAAATATATTTAATTTGATAAAAGTTCTAATAGAAGATTATTGATCTAATTAGATTTCGTTGAAAAGTCCATATATTTTTCATTTTTATTGTTGGTTAAGTGCTTGTATAATTCTATGTAAAATACTTTTATGATAAATCTGTAGTCGAGTATTTAGGAACTCTTTTAAAATGCCATGGAATACCCTAGTTCCACAGTGAAACATCGTAGCCGGTGAACGAGACGGAGACGTTCCGGGGTTCCGCATCGCATTTCTTTCCGAATGTACTTGAAAAAGACGCGGCGTTTAAAACGTCGGACACATTTTCGAGAGCAAAGTGCTCCAATGGCGTAGCAAAACGATTCTATATCGTAAAGAAGTTCCGTTTTAACGAAAGACCACTCGCGTTTCTTTCACAAATAAATGCATCATCGTGAATTGCTTTGTCGATGCATCATTTTTTTTTAATTATAAATGTATTGCAAATATCAGTCTCTCCCAAATGCTCAGAAGTACAGCTAAAACGACGTAATCTCGCCGATCCTACGCTGTTAATGTGCTCCCTAATTTCTGAGACTCGTGAGCCGCCTTCTTCCGTAAATTATGTGCTCGCGGACTCGCGCTCTTACTTTCCGCACGGTGTGAAGACATGTAGACGCCCACTGCAAAGCGTTTTCCATTTGCTCGGTTTCGTGAAAACAGCTTTGGTCTTTAAAATGCGACCACTTGTAGATCACGTCATTGTTACGTTTATAATATAATACTACAAGATTACATTTAATCGAAATTTATTACAAGATTACATTTAATCGAAATTTATTACAAGATTACATTTAATCGAAATTTTTTTACAAGATTATTTATACAGTTCCCTGATAAAAGAGATGTAAAAATTACATTTTTTCAATTTTTATATTAATAAATATTTATATGATATTAAATCTTCGTAACAATCTACGAATCGTAAAATTCGAAACTGATTTATTTAATTGTTAAAGTTATTATTATTAATTAAAATTATGTCATTATTAATTGTTAAAATTATTATTAATAATTATCATATTAAGCAAACATTATTTTTTGCTTAAATTTTAATCATATTTCCGTTTAAATAATTTTTTAAATGCGATGTATTGATCGTTAATAACTGAGAATCTTATCTTATAGAGTAAGTCAATCATTTTCTCTTTAATCTACGATAAAAATGTTTAGAAAATCTACTAGAAAAATGTCTAATGAGCTTCTCGTTAGTCGAAATTAGCTATAGGAAAGCGTGTGTAAAGCGGCTTAGACGACAGGCTCGAAGTTAAAGCGCGTGTAATCGGTAATGGAAATAGCTATAATGCACGTTATTAATAAAACTAATACCAGGTTAGGTTTCGTCCATGCGACGTACATAGAGAATTATCCCATACGGGATTGCGATGTGATTCGCATACTCTATCGGCTTAAGGATTAACTTGTTTCAGCATTTCAATATCGGAGCATCATGAGACCTGAAATTTCACATATATAGCCAGTAATCGTTGATATCGCTAAATTTCCTGATACACTGGACTAGCGAATCTGTGGATTAAATTTTATAGATTGACTAATGTAATATCTAGGATAAAATATTGTTTCTTTGTGGATGAACAATTTAAAGTTAAGCAAATCATTTTTTATTAAAGCTCAAACGTGAAATTTGACATCTATTTATTTATTACCATTCTTTATTATAACATTACAGAACTATTTTCATTACAATTGTTCATAACAAACTTAACGAGATACTTAAATGTATTTGAAGACTGTGCATATCTTTAATTTCTTTTAAAAATTTACAAAAATTTAACAAAACTCTACAAAATTTAACAAAGTAATATATAACATGTATGTTTACTAATGTAATTATAGTTTTAATGTAATTATGGTTCGATAAATTTCATGACTTCTGTAAGTTTTAAAAAAATTAAATTTTTACATAAATAAGTTTTTTGTATAATAACAATGCACATATAAAGTTTTTTCATACCTTAATATTTATACACTTTAATTCGCATTTTTAAATTTTTTACATATAAAGATTTCGATATCGATATTCGAGGACTTTTCGACAATGTTCGCAAATGCTAAAAATATTCATCGTACGTTTTTTGCATTGCATTTTGATCGAACGATTTATCTGCATCGAAAAGCAACTGCCCTTCAATACTTTTATAGAAATTTATTCACATATATATGAGCCTTCATCATCCGTAAATTCCCTTTGTGCAAAATACGCAAATACATAGACGTCTGCCAATCCACGAGTTAGTCAAACTATTTTGAAACAGAATAGTTAAATCGATATCCTCGAATATCTCTGATTTTCGAAAGCGTTTAACCGGGAATTAAGTGACACGGCCGATAAACGCCACGGACTTTGGATGACCGAAACTCTTGCTTACCGTTACGTCATGCACGGATGTGACCGCTCCTGTGTGATGGTGTGACGAAGTGTTTTCGGCAGGAAAGTTCTCGGGAACTTTCGTCGGGGAAGCGTCAGAACGGACAACACGAACATACGACATGACTGCCAGCTCATTCCGCACTTCGCCAATGTGTCCGCGGACAAGTTCGAATTAGCAAGCGCACCAAGTTGCGGAATGCCGATTGGTAGCCGTTCGCTCTGTTGCACGCTTCCTCGCGAGAGAGACTATGCCATACAAGTATTCACGTTCGGGTTCACGCTGGTCACACCGAAACGACAGAACCACCAAGAACAAGAAACTTCATCTTCGAGCAATGAACTTTCGCGATCAAGAGAAGTACAAATTGCACGCGAAATGACGAAATCTCATAAGGATAATTGCGGAAAATTTTATAATCAGTATTTTATAACCAAATTTTCCAGTAATGAAAATAATTTAATAATAACAATATCTAATTTTATATTCAAAATAATAAATAACGCGAAATATTATACAAGGAGAATCGATTTTGAGAGAGATTTTTGTCACAAAAATATTATTTTAATACTAGAACAATCAGTATTGAATGTATGCTAGTTTTACGACATCCATCAATTTTGCAGATGTTCGAAAACAATTTTATTTATTATTATTAATTTTCTTAATTTTCTTAGCTTTCAATTACAAAGATTTTTGATATATTTCACAATTACTCTTTTTTTTGTTAAAATAAAACTATTCAAAATACTTATACATAAAAATTTATTTATAATATATTATTTTTTGTTATTTAGCATTTCTCGGGACTTTTTTTTATAGTTATCTATATCTATCACGTGGGAAATAAAAAGCACAAATATTATATATTTGTAATATTTTCAATTACCGTTACATTCTAGTAATTGTGTTTTATATCCATGCTTCAAAATAAAATTAAAATTTTTTAATTAGATATCGGATTAACAAATTATTTTGTAGTAAAGAAAAAATGTACTTTTCGCTAACACGATAGGATTTTATTGCATGAGTTTTATAAACTGACAACAAAAATGCAATTTTCCTGAATTGTTGTCGAAATATCACGCCAATCTATTTACAAATAATAAATCGCGCGATATGATGTCGATTTAGCTTACTTATAAATATATATATATATATATATATATATATATATATATAGTATCTCTTTAAAAAATCCCTTATTCTACAACAGATAATTTTTATTTTGTCATGTGTTTAATTTTGTTCATACCAATGATTACACTATGAATATTTCCAAGTAAATTGTGATGAAGTATAAAATTATTAAGTCCATAATTTTATTTTATTATGTTTAGGCATATTATATAAAAAAATTCTAGCGAAATTATAGCGATTGTGATTAGGCTGCAAAAATAAATAAATTGTTATATATTACTTTTTTTATCTCGATAAAGGCACTTTAGTAATTTCTGCAATTCAAAATAAGAAATCTGAAATATCCGTCATTTTGACAGGTTTGCTCGTCTAGTGTTAAATGATATTAAACGTGAAATAGTTCGTCGACGATACAGCATGACCCGATAGCACGTCCATGTTTAGTGGAGTATGGAAAAATCGCAATTCATAGTCAAAGTACGGAGGTATTCATATTGCGGCACGTGCATCGGACTGCTGTTCGGTATGCTAGTGCATCTTACGCGGAATTTGATTCAGGTATGCCGGGCAGGACGATCGCGTGTGACGCTAGCAGTGGTACCTCGGAGCTGTTGTCGATTCGACATAAAGGGGCCCTGCTATATCACGATCCCCTTCAGCTGCCAAATCCTGAGGACGATCCCATCTACGAGAGCCTCGACACTCGACGCTGTCTCGTAGCCATGAAAGCCATTGTAGAGGGGACACTCTATTCCTCGATTGTGCTAATCGCCCTTCTCTTCGTCTTGCAGCTACGTACCAAATTGGACGCAATAAACACGCGGATAGTTCAATACGGACATTTGCGCGATATCAATAGAGAGCTTGTAGTTAATTTCTCCTTCACCACTTGTGCAATAATCCGGGTCTCTTTATTGAAGACTTCAGTTCTCGAGTACAATGGAGTAATTATCTGTCTGTTACGTATGCAATTACGTGTCAGGTATTAATATTTAAACTTTATAATGACAAATAAAATTAAAAAGTAAAATTGAATCTCTGAAGTTTACAATTATATAAAGACATTTTAGAAATGATAAATTATTTTTTAGAGTCGGGCGACAAAAGATTAAATAGCACGAACATAAGTTTTCGCGGTTTTATTAGAATTATGTAAATATTGAAGTTTTAATGCAACAATATAAGAGACATTTAAAGTGCAACGAGCACGATTTATCGTTCATATCTTTGCTCAACGTTTGTTCGTGTGTTTATCTCACGAGTTTTTGCTGTCCATGTTTCTCGTAACGCGTTAAAAGCAGCATGCACCGCATTTCCAGCTCGCGTCCTTCGCGGCTCGTTTCATCTCGCTCAAATTTAATTCTGCATTCGGTGCCCTTTGGTTAAAGTTCCCGAACGCGATTCTGATGTCATTAACCTGACGTGGTTAATTTAACGCACTACGCCGCGCGTAGCTGTTATGTTGGCCACCTGTAAAAAACAAGGCAAATCATTTTATCAATTTCATCCTTTCTCCGGCTTTTATCTTCAGCGTTAAAAAACAATTATTCTGTGTTTAAAAGAATGTATAAAAGAAATCGTTATTTTTTTCTCTTACAAAAGTGACTTAAAATTGGAGTAAAATGTTTCTGGCAAATGAAGAAGGTAAATTGATATGTTTGTGATATTCTCTATATTTTTATGGGAAAATATGCTGATATAAAAAAGAGAAAAGAAGAGAAGTCAAAGAGTGATGGGATATATAGAAAGAAAAACGATAGAGGAAAAATATAAACAGTCGAATCTAGCGAATGGAAGTTGCAGGCTGGAGAGAGAAAGTGAATAGAAAGTGACAGATTGCGTGCAAGGTAAAGCGTTGCATTGTGCAATCACACGAAATACATCACACGAGTCACGTTCCTCTGGAGAAGCTGAAGATAAAATATTCCTACGATAAAAAACCATAATCATTTTTGTGCTAAGAAAAGCGTGGCGGTAATTTAAAATAATGCAAAGCAAAGAGATAGAGGATCATCTCATAAAAATCTCATGTAATGCAAAGTAAAAGTAAAGAAACGTATCGGAGAGAGAACTCGCGGAATAAATAGCGGACGAAGAGATGGTATAAAAAAATAGATGGTGACGAAGGATCCATCTGGCATTTTTCGTCACCGCGTCCATATGGCGTGTCACGTTTACGGCGATACGCGTAAAACACATTTGTCCGCTTACTCCGGATTGGCGCGGATCCATCTACGAGGCTCGATTTTACTGTCGCGAGAAATGCAGCGACGTTGGACGGGATTCGATGGAGCGCATTGGCCGGATAGCTCTACGGTTGTCTGGATTTTGGGAATGCCGCCGGACCTAATCTCTGACAGATCGAGCAGGATAGCTGGTAGCGCGACTGCTCGCGAATCAAATCAATCGGTGACAAATAGACTGAGCGAGCGAGTGAGCCCTCGTCTTCGGCGGTATAAACGTTGCCATCGAATCGCCCGCGCTCGATCGCCGAATCTGATGGAATTTGATGGAGATTTTGCGCGGTAAACGAGGAGCGATTCCGCAAAACTCAATCTCGCTGCTTACACTCGTATCGAGAGTGCGTTTCGAGCCGGATACCACGTCGCGCACGTGATCCGGAAAATAGATTTGAATAACGGATCGCACGGTTAATTCTCCCCCTTTTTTTTCAATCGGAGACACCATCGTTTCTTTCCTCGCTTAATTGCAATCGCTGCGCTCGATCTATTTTTTTCTCTCTTTTTTTTTTATTTATCCGAAACCTCGGTGTCCGACTTTTTTTGATTACCCGGATATGCAAGTTTATTTCCGTTCGAAAACTTTTAATTTGCATTATATGAATATATTTGTACAGATTATAAATATATGGCTTACATAAATATAATGTAAAATTGTAATCATTTGCATCGTTATCCTGGATATCAGGAATTATAAATTGATTCTCTGTGCACCCTTATTTTTTGAAATATAATATGTAAATATATTATGGAATATGTTTATGCGCATAATATATTTATATATTATAATTTTTTAAATATATAAAACAAACAAATATAGAATTATTGATAGCTCGATCGAAAATATTTAATATTTGCAATAAAGTGCTTTAGACATATTAAGATTTAATAAATGCAATCTCGATTGTTACGATTTGTCGATTCGATGTAAAGTTTCTCGATGACGTTTAGGGTAATCGATTACTCCAGAGTTAGGTAGATGCACTTAACAAGGGATTTGACTACCTAGTTCAAGGCTAACTTCTGGAGATAAACAAGAGGTCAAGATACGTAAACGCCAATATATCACCGATGAGGTACCGTTGAATTCCTTTGTGAAAAGACGCCCATTGATCAATACGTAATGGAGATTATTATTTGTAGCTTTCTGCATCTTTTGATCATGCTGCTTTACATCGCAGATTAGATCCTCTTGACTTTGCAAAATAAACAGGAGCCAATGAGATAGAAGTATAAGCAAGATAAGGAATGGGATGCGACATAGCAATTTGTAAAGTGTTAAGTTTATTCGCTGTCTGCAAAATTCAGCTTTTTGGAAGGCCATTGCACTCTTGAGATTTTCTGGGACGATAAGAATTTGAGAATATATTTCTACTTTGATTAAAAGAATAATTGTAATAAATATAGAAATAAAATATAATAAATAAAAAATATAACAAATTAAATATAGAAATAAAAATATAATAAATTATAATAAATATAGAAATAAAAATATGATCCACGGAAGTTTGATTGTCAATAATATTAAACAAAACATAAAAATTTAGATTTTGCAGATTATTAATTTCTAATGTGTAATATAATTATCATTCAAAGAAAATTTATTTTTTATTTATATTTTATAACATTATGTATAATAATTGTGCAACATGTTGAAAGAATCAATTTAGCTCCTGCCGAATCTTGCTTATTTTATTAAAACACTATTTCATCCTTATATTGACAAAAATAAAACGCGAATCAAATACACAGGCAGCAATGTAAGAACTTCCGGTTTCCCGCAAAAATATTGTCGTGTGAAAGAACGAAGAATGATTGTATTTCATCGGATGGCGTTAGAGTACTATGTCAATTTTATGTAACAAACAAACTGAACTTGTGTAACGAACAAGCTGAAACTATGCGCTTGAACAATTCCACAAGTTTTGGTTTTCGATTTTCTTTTCTCTCTGAAATTTTTCTGTTTTTAGTCCGTTGTGTGGTCCATCTCATTACCTGATGTGATGAGAAAAAGATTCTTCTTTGCTCTTTTATGTATATAATCAAAAAAACGCGCGAGTAAAGCATTGGATTTAACAAATATTCTTAGTATGTGTTCCCTACATATATTATATATGTTCGATATATTTTTCCACATATAATAAAAAAAATATATATTCTTATATATAAGAATTAAAACACTTGATAATTTAAAAGTATAAAGTAATTTTAAACTCTTATAGTATATGTAATATTTATATAAACTAATATATTTATACTAATATATTAATTTAATAATTAATATACTTAATATAATTAACATGTTTAATTAATATAATTAGAAGATTTTTACATCAAAATTTGTCGTTTTTTAATTATAATCACAAAAACGCATCGTTAATAATTATTGCAAGTCTTTTTATTCATGTAATTTGGAAAAGATTTTCAAATTATTTTTAAATTAAATTATAGCACACACAAAAAGATAGTGAAATTTAAATTACAGATGTTCTTGATTCTTTGAATTCTTTTACTTCTTGTGTTCCATTTTACTAAAAATTTGATATTAGATTAAGTTTCTAGGCAAAATTGGATAAAGATCTGGAGCAGCCATAGTTTTGTAGGTCACGTAAGCGTTAAACGTGAATTAAGCTGGGTTGCTGGCACCTTGGCTTGTTAGAATCTTTACTGTGTAATGAACGAGAGAATGTGAAAATTGTTTGATTATTGTCAGGAGCTATATATCATGCCCTTTTTTTGAAACTTTGTAAGAAAATTGCGCGTGTTTCAAATATCAGCTCGAAAAAGATTTACAACAATTTTGTAATTTATATTGCTGAAGAATAGGATTATATCATGTAAGTTGCAAGTTAATAATAGCGAGAAAAATTGCATACAAGCGTTAAGTATAATTTTTATGGCATGATAATATAATATCATGCAGCTTGGCTAGTTGATTTTTTAGATATTATTCTCTTGAAGATGCAATTTGATATTTGATATTTTGAAAGTGTTGGAATGTCGGAATAACTTGTATAGCGTAAAGAGAGCGAAACGAATTCATCCTTTGACAAACCTTCGTTAGCTTTTCATCGTCACTGCGCCGGGGTTCGTTTAAAGGATCTCCGTCTCCGATTTTCCATCCTGTACAGACGGCGCGTTGAGAGGGAAGATCTGCTCATTAAGGTCTTAGTTAAGCAATTTTGTTCGTTCGTCTGAATATTTGTATCTTGTTCTTTTTCTATAATAGAAAGACAAAAAGAGAGATTTTTTATTTAATTTATATTACATCCCTTTCCAAATTTATACATATGCATATATATATATATATATATATATATATATATATAATATCTTTATAAAATATATGAAAATATATTCTATATAAATAATATTTTTATTTTTCTGTTTTCTTTTATTACATATTAATATTTTTATTATAGATCTTTGAATTCTTTCTCTTTTTTTCTTTCTATCAAAACATGAAATAAACATGTTGCAATTATTTATTTATTTATTACAAGAGATTTTACATGATATAATTAGTTGTAATGATTAGCGGAAAAATCATTATCAATAAAATAAGCTGGATTGCGTGAGTGAAAAAATGTATTACAATTCCTTAACTTATATGATAGAATTCTGTTAAAAATTAATTTAATTGTAATAAGAATTTTTAAATAAGATATTTTAAAATGCACGTAATAAGAAGATAATATTATCTGGAAATATCTTAAATTTGCAATGAATAGAATAAATATATCTTTAGAAATATTAAAATAGTATGATGAATAGTTATGAATGAAATAATTTTTCTTCTATTTTTAACTAGATTTTATTGTATTAGTAACGTGACTAAAAAATTATAGAGTGTGATACATAAATTTTATAAAGATAAGAGAATTGAATATATAATTAATATATAAGAGATAAGAACGGAGCTAATATAATAAGATATTATTTTGAGAATACAAATTTAGTTATAATTTTTTCAAGTAATTGAAATATGTCAGTTATAAGAATCCTTCAAGATATAAAACTAAATTGTATATTAAATTGTCGGTACTGCTAGCTAGGTCAAACATAAGAAAATCATAAATAATGTAACATTGTTAGCATTTAAAATTTTTCAAGTTGACATTTCGCACACACACAAACATGCGGAAGAAATAACTTCTTCTATGTCAACTTCTCTATTTGACAAAGAAAAGAAAAGAAAATAATGTGACTGTCCTGCTTTTCCTAGAACAATTGTTTTATTACCTTTTCTTGGTAGATTTAGCTCGCATTATATATTAAAATATAATCTATGTGAAATTGCACTTCTATTAATTATTATTTCGCCAATAATCTCCAATTATCAGACAGAGAAACCAAAAGCGAAACAATCAAAACCACAATAGGATTATAAAATATAATCGCGTACGAAATGGTCATACTAATGAACCTAATACCGTACATTAAAATAATTGCTCGTATAGAGTAAATGGGTTTCATGAATTCAGTCATTAATAATCTATACCATTATCATTTCACGGATCATGATCTCATTAGAGGATCAAAATTGAAATTTTTAGCAGATCATTAACCAATCTGTTTTGTTTTCCATATTACGAGTGAGTTGAAAAGAAATGCAATCCATCTGAAATAAAGGTGCAAAAATACCATCGCAAACGCATGACTGTGGCAAATAAAATATAGTTACAGTATATAAGCGAATGTACAGAGAGAAATTAGACCACAAGGATATAGTACGAGGAGTTAGACAAAAATACGGACAAAAGCGAGAACTATTCTTGCACAAAATGTAACGAAGTAATAAGAGATCCACTCGCGAAATTGCTACGAGATAATACGCAATTTTGTCAAGTAAAATTCTGGAAAATGAAGATAACTTATGAAACATATCTAAACGTCCGTGCAGTCAAACTACGAGGAAACAGGAATGAGAATGAGAAGGATATATAGACACAAGAGGACACTCTTGAATAAAGGCCGACCGAGGCGGATACTAACGAATGCTGGTACCGGAAGATATGAGTTTTATTAGAACGCATTTTCTACTCGCGAGATAATGGTTGCAAAACGACAGTTGATATAATGAATGGTTCTCTTCGTGATTAAAAGTTGTTTAGTCAACCGAGAAGTAATTTATAATTACTTAATTTAATATATGATATGAAAGTTATTATATAATTTGAAGAATATTGAAAAAAATTACAGACACAATAATCTTAAAAGATAATCTTAAAAGATCTTAAAAGATTATTGTGTCTGTAAGATTATAATCTTTAAGATTATTGTGTCTGTAAATTGTTTTAATGCGACATAATAATCCATTGATTATTTAACAAATTTTCATAAAGATTGATTTTGATTTGATAAAAGTTTCTTATTATTAGTGGATGCTTCATAAATGGATTAAAAACAGTATTATGCAATAATGAAGACAAATTATCAAGCGAACTTTCTCTTCTATATAACTCGTATATTCTTTGTGGGCCATTAAACCATTTTAGGAAGTTACGCATTGTCAAGTTTTCCAGATGCTCGGTAGCATCCTGACTTGTAGTCTGAGTTTATATTAATATGCGATTAAACTCTCATCGTGCGCGAAGCTCTATTGTGCCAGAAATCTTTTCTACGGTTAAGTATTCCAGATGATTCATTTCTGCAGTTCATTTCATTAAAGACATAAAAATGAAAGAATAAAATAATCATAAAATATGATATTGTTTTTCCAGGAAAAAGTACTATTTTTATTAAAACAGCATACAAATTTTTGTTTCAAAAGAAGCGATTCTCTTTTTATTTTTGTAAAGCGAGGCGAACGATTATTTAAACTGTATTTAAAATGAAATCGTGAAGAAACCTTTTTATATTTTGTATATTTATGTAATATCAAGATTATTCATGTCTTAATATTTATATCAAGAAGAAATTGATTAGAAATTCATTCGAGAGAATCTGTTATTAAAGCCGTGAGTTTTAAGACTCTCTGCATCTACAAATTCCTCGCTACTCAAGATCAGTACTGATTTCTTAATAAGTAAGGCAAAAGATGGAGTAAGGGGAGAAAAATATTTGAAATAAGGGAATTGCTGGAGTTGTTCCCACGTCACGTAGATGCCTCACGGAACTTACAGAGAGCTCGATAACACGTTCTCCAAATCCCCGATAGCTGCAACTTTGGCTTATGTTAATACGCGATTAAATTCTTATCACTCGGCGGACCGTAAATGAATCCAGTCGGCGAATTCCGGGCACGTCCTAGTTTGGTGCTCTCGATTCGCCAATGGCGTAGATTCTACATCGAGTACCGCCGGGAAATGCAGGAGAAGAAGGTCGTCTCAGTAGGACTGAGGCACAGGACCAATATCAGAGACGTTAAAAACTGCTCTAATGATTTTAAACAGGATCGCGTTTGATAACTTACAATTTTCGTAATCTCACCACTTGAGATTCTTATTATTTCGGGCAACGATATTTTCAAGAAGAATCTAAAGGTATCGGATAAATAGAAATATTATGCTAGATACTACGATAAATAAAAAATTTGTGATGCACACATAAAATAAGACGATTTTATGCACGTATCATTTGAAGCTAAAAAAAGATCTGAAGTAAAAGTTTTGCGTTCAAAAATTCAAGATGATGAAAGAGCATGTAAATTTTACCTTTGCCGCTCGAGATACACAAATGCCTGATCTCGGTCCAACATCGGAGGCTGAATGGCACGGGTCATCGCGAATAGCGCGAAAAGGAACAAAAGGAAGGAAGAAAAGTGTCGTGCAATACTCTCTAGGCGTGTATCACCACATTCAAACTAAATTCACGATGTCGAAGCGCGACTGGGCGTTCATTACAATTTCAACTTGCATCAATTACCAAGATCTCTATCCTTTTTCCTCGCTTCATCTCGTCTACTCGGCACCCCATGTAATTTTCCCTCGCCTGGAATAACCGACACACGCGATTAAAAGCCTTCTCGCTCTCTAGTTTATATTGAGAATTATTCGCAGTGTGTTCGGGTAGATAGAATGCCAATTCAACTGAATGTACATTTACGTGCATGCAAAGCGCAGGATGCGAGCGAACATTTCGCTGTAAAAAGTATATCTGGAAGATAGATGTAAATGCGCGCAACCGCTGATTAACATTTTGTACAGTTGATTAGAACGTTGGTTTCATTAACAGAATTATGATAGCTAATCGGGAAATCAATAGTATTCATTCGGCTTTGCCGCGTGCGTAAAAGGAGATGAGAACTATAGAAAGTCAAATTCTATACAAAATTAATGAATTTATATCGATAAAATACAACGATATGATAATTGCCAAAGTTAAAATAATTATTAAATATAATTAAATTGCGAAAAAAGTGTTTAAATTAGTAAGCAGCAAATATTCGGCAAAGTTTTGCGCGTTAAGTTGAAATGAAAATTTGATGAAGAAAACAGAGGGATGTCGATTTTTGCATTTTTCCTGTTTTACTTCTTGTTTTGAACACTAGGATGTTGTTCTAGCAGTCACACGGCGACTATTTTAGAGTTTGCACCGATATAATGGCGGAAACTTTCTAAATATTGGATACGGAATATATTTGCCGTTTTAGAAATTATTAAAATCACGATGTGTCCGGTTGAAACTTCATATTACCATAAAATAGCAAAGGCTATGTTAAAAATTATTAAAACTCCGAATGTAATACTCATGACGCTAGGAACGCAAGTAATGGAAATGTGCTGTTAATAGCGCTGCAGAAATGAAAAGGGAAATAACAGACATTTTCCTACTTTGTAGGAGACATGAAACATAATTTATCGCGTCATATACATGCTCCTATCTAGAGATTACATTTACGCATACTGTTTTCGTATATTGTCTCCGCGTGTAAAATGCATGTATGACGTAATGTGAAAGAAGATTGATCTTTAATCTCTTATATGTATATTTTTTCTTTATCAAGTCAGAAATGAATTTTTCCTTAATATAAATTTTTTCAAAGAAAGAAATATTCTCTCTCTCTCTCTTTCTCTTTCTCTCTCTCTCTTTCATTGAAATATATATTTAATATCTTACAAATAAGGAAATTTCTTTTCTCTTAAATTAAGTTTTGAAAGAAAAATGCATAGTTAAATCTCTTTTAATATTTTCATATTAATTATTATTTT